CATATAAAGATTTTTAACTTGGTTTCCCCTTCTTTTCAAAATTGAAGAACTTAACCCAACAATTTAAAAATCTGTTTATTTTCAAATCAGTTACCTTTTCTGTTATACAATTTTCATATATTATCGATTCCAGAAATAATATTTTCAGAAATGAAATCATGGTTTGCGTTATTTGTAATTAAATTAAATTTGGAGTAAAAAGTAAATTGTTCAAATGATTGGAAACCATTCTTACGTAAGATACCAACATCTTAAGGAAAATTTATTTAATCTTATTATCTAAGAGAGATATTTAAAATTATTTGGATAACTTTTTACAAAAAATTTGTTAATCATTATTAAAATTTAATTAAAGAATGAATTTATCATAGATATTCTGTATAATCGGCTTTATTTGAATATTTTTAAGCATTTTTGTAAATGAATGTTTTTGTTGAATTTCATGAAGTTTATTATTATTAATATCAAAATATTATCTAATTTGGATGTTTATAGATTAAAAATCATATATTTGATAGCATTTCAACCTTTAGTCCATTTTGATGCATGCATAAATTAGTAAAGCCCTCTACTAAAACTTTCATTTTATATTGTGCTCTTAGTTTTGAATGAACTTTAATAATTATTGAAAATATTGAATCGATTATTTTTAAATTAGAACATTTTTAAATTCATTCAACTAAAATTAATAGTAAGTAAAAAAAGATATTTCAGATAAAAATTAAAACTCATATTCATTATTGAACGAGGGAATTCATAAATTCTTCCACAACAGGATATTCTTTTCATAAATCATAACTGAAAATTATCTATTTTTTTAACAATTTATTTTATATATATTTTTAATAATATTATGAAATAAGCATTTTTCACTGTAAACAAGAAAATTAATTTTATATATCATTAAGATAAATCGAATTATAAACATACATTGAGAATGAAAATTTTATTTATATATATTTATGTATGTTATGAATTTATTACTAAACTCATATTGCTCTAATGAATGCTTAATACCAGAGTTTTTATCTTAAGCTTAATATTTTTGTTAACTTTAGTGAAAACTCATACTAAGTGATAAACAGCTGGATAAAAAAATAGAGCTAAAACTAGATTCCTTATATTTAATCTAAATAATCCCCTCAAAAATAAAGAAGGTAATAATGTAGGTGAGGAAAAAAGGATGAATTTAATCCTCATTTTTAGGAAGATTACTAGTATTTAAGCTCTATCTATCATCAAATAATATGATTCAAAATGATTTCATTTAAAAAATTAAGACTCTTTTTCCAACCTAGAAAATATACTTCATCATTTTTCCAACCTAATTCCCTAAACTTATAGAATTGATTATATCCAAAACGTTCTTTAATAGTACTGACTAACTTTTTATTTTTTTATTAAAGCTCATAGTGCCTAAATTACTAGGAACAAAATTGGGGGAATATTAACTCTAATTCAGAAGTGTAAAGGATATCAAGTGTTGCTGGAGAAATTTTAACAAATATTCATATAAGACTTATCAACTTAACTACAAGTATTTATAACTTAAAATAAGTATATCTCTTAGTAGAAAAAAGAGATAGTCAAAAAAAAAGAAGGTAAATGAATTTGATCGACAAAAGCATAAACTTCGGCCGCATAAAACAACAAACTGATATATTAATAGAAAAAAAAACTCTTTGAAGTTTTATTCCTATAAGAATGTGAAAAAAAGAAAAATGTTTTTTACAGTAAAATTTAAGTGATGCAAATTTCACTGTTACATACAATAATTTAGATTTTACAATGTATATTTATTGTTATAATGAGGAGGTGACTTTTAGAAATTAAAAGCATCATGTCATTAATAATAGACTACTAAAATGAATTACAGATTGAATCTGAATATCTTAATTTTAAATAAAATTAATGCATGATTTTTTATGATTGTAATTACAAGAAATTTAATTAGGATATCTTAAGAGCTGCGAAATGTTAAACTGATTATGTTTTATCAATTACAGGTTGCCACTTAAGGTT